CCACAATTACCTATGAAGCACTGATTGGGGAACCTTCTTTACCTCAAACAATACAGACACATTAACCAATATATTTTATCACAACATAAAAAGTATCATCAACAACATCGCACCTTTAGAATACTGTAAACCTGCGTTCTCCAAAGATCTCTATATACCGGTCAGTACAAGAAGACGTCTTCAAAGACATTGTACTCAATTCCACAACTTAAATGACTTTTCCTCTTTAGTAACGATGACAGAAATACTTGTCCGAACAGAGGCAATAAGTAAACAAAAAGCAATCACACAGGAAAAACTTGCAGTTGAACTTAATAATAACTCCTCTGCACTCATCATACTACTCCAAAATAAACTTAAACGCTCTAAATCGAGAGGGAGTATATTCATTAAAGGCAAACAAGTATACGAAGATCCCAAACTTGTCACAGAATTATTTAGTGAACATTTTTGTTTCTCACTAACTAACGAAAAACCATTCAATGATTCAGAACCGATTCCAGTAACTCCCTGTGAAATTACTAATGTAGAATTCAGTGTACTAAATATCTCCAAGGTAATCAGTACATTGAAACACCTCTACACTGATGGACCAGATGGTATTCCATCTAGCATGCTAAAACGTGGAGGTGATGATATGTGTGTTTTGCTTCTCAAACTATTCGCGATATCACTCTCTTCAGCGTGTTACACCACTGCCTGGAAAACTACACATATCATTCCCAAAATTAAAACAGGACCTGGAGCAAACGTTGAAAATTACCGGCCTATAAACATAACTTCAGTGGTATCCAGAGTGATGGAAAAAGTAGTTAGGGCGGCTGTAGTCCAACATCTACTAACTAATAATCTCATCTCGACCTCCCAGCATGAATTTCTTAGGTCCAGATCATGCAATACATGCCTAGTAGACTACCTGAATGATATAACTCTGAAACGAGACAGCGGAATCCTTGTATCAGTCCTATTCCTAGACTTTAAGAAAGCCTTTGATAATGTCCCACACAAAAAGCTACTCGTCAAACTAAAGTCCTTCGGAATACACAACCCACTATACTCATGGTTTGCTTCGTTCTTAACAGAACGTAAACAGATGGTAAAGTACAATGACTGTCTCTCGTCCCCTAGGCCAATCACCAGAGGGTAAACTTACTCTCTACAAAATATGTGTACGACCCTCTCTTGAATACTGCTCTTTTGTCTTCTCTAATATGAATATCACAGACAAGATAAGAGTAGAAGATGTTCAAAGACGTTTCACACGTCAACTACTAGGATGTAACTCGAATCTCGATTACACAGACAGATGTAAGCATCTATCGTTAGAACCTTTATGGCACCGTAGGCTAAAGAACAATTTAATATTTCTCTACAAAGCGATATATGGGCTCTCCTTTCTAACCTCTTGCCCGACTATTACCCACGACCCAGCCTATAGACTTAGAAACAACGCATATATACTACTTACCGTAAAACACCAAAAACAAATGCATTGTAAGTTCTTTACAGTACGCTAAAGTTTATTGTGAAACAGGCTGCCAATGCCTATCCGTAATTGTGATACGTTTATCAGATTCAAAAGGCTAATAACCCTATTTCTAGACTCCAAAGAGCTTCAACATTTCCTTGAACTCCCGCCCACCAATAAGGGACTTTATTACGGACCGCCTAGTATCTAGAAAGAACAAAATTATAACAAGTCCGACTGTTACTAATATTAATATAACCAAATCACAATATACGGCTTATCCTTTCCTATTATTCATTGTTTATTAATCATGACTTCATGCTCCTAACCCTAGCTTTCAGTTCCCAAATCTCTGCAATTTAAATGTACATTATTCTTCCTAAAAGTCATGCCTTTTTTTTCACTGCAAGTAAACAGATAGCTCAATCTTATGAATGCTGATCTACTAAGGCCGACCATTCAAAGTTCAAAATTTGGCCACAACGTCTTGTGAGTTTCTCAATGTTTTATTTGTCTTACCCTGAAATCTTTTTTTTTCTACGATTTTATACCCTCTCATATCTTTTGATTTGCTATTAGTCCTTACTTCTTTACACCATTAGTTATTTTCATAGCAGTGTGATATACTATTTGGACATCTAACCCATAATATAGACTTTTCAACTATCTGATTTGCTTGTAACATGGACCTAGTAGAGACAGTGTATTCCAACTATGGGCTTTGATTAAAGCAGTATTCATACTTACCACAAACGTAAGAGAGCCTAACATCACAAAAGGAGGGAGGGTGGCGTTACTGACCAGCAAACATGAAAATGGGGAGATAACTTTAATCCACCCATGTCTGTAGGGCAGAACATTTTGTTTAATTACGGCTCCTTATGGTTTAGTGAGATGTCAAGAACTTATGGTATTGAAGCTGATTTATCGCGCAAAATACCTCTTTAAGTCGTGTTACGAACGTTGAATTGGTTTTACTTCCTACCCAGAAATCCTATTACAAGCAAACTAGACAATTCGCAAATATACGAAGCCTACTCAAGACCCTATAATAACTGAGGGGGGTGAATATTTAATAAAAACGAAAGAAGCTCTAATAGCTTCGATAATAAAGGGAAGACAGCCAATTGTATATCACATTACTGTTTCTAGCACTATATTTTATTTTATAATCACACATAATCTTATGCTCTCAGCTCTTTTCCGAATCACCCACATTTGTCAGTTGTATGTCCACTCACACCTTGTCAACACTTATTTTAGTTAACCTATTAAAATGCTCTTTCTTAATATATACCTTAATAAAGGAAAATTAGACTGAGTAATCATACCTTAAACATTCCTTCATGAATATTGGCTACTCTGCCTCTCGTATTTTCTTTTACTTGCTCCCTCTTTCAGCCCCCTTGAGATATGAAACTGGTTACTTCATCCTGCACCATCTTTAAAGCCTTGGATATCCCAAAGGGACATAAGGCTGCGATTTCTAAAAGCTCATACCTTCAATGGACCTATCCTTGACCATCAGTCGCACATTCGCAACGCAACTTTCATGAAGCGCGTCAACTGTGGTACTGATTAAAACCATCTACATTCATATCTTATAAGTTATCAACCCAGCTATGTAATTTATTACAGTGTATATTGCATCATTTGTATCAATTTGATCTTGCCTGTAAACTGGCATGGCTCATGTAACAAACTGTTATTTGAGAATGAATTATTATTATTATTATTGTTATTATTATTATTATTATTATTATTATTATTATTACAAACACCTCAGATAGAGTGGTGGCATTAACCACCTTTCTCCATTGATCTATTCAAGCAGTGGGGTTCAACAGGGTTGTTCAGTCTCATCATTCCTCTTCAACTTTGCCATCGATGACATTCTGGAAACAGCTCTGTTGGATGTAATTAGTGGCGGTGTGTATTTGTTGCCTGGAGAAATACTACTCGACCTTGAGTATGCGGATGACATTGACATACTGTGCGATAATCCTGAAGCCATGCAATCCTCAATTATTCAGTTGGCAATCAGTATCTGTAGGTACGGTATATGCTTTGGACCTTCGAAATGCAAAGTACTTCAGTGAGACTGGCAGGATTATAATCCTCTACTAACCCTGGCAGTTGAGCGAATGTAAATAGTCGATAAGTTCGTGTATCTAGATAACTGCGAAAGTGCTGGTGTTGGCGTGAGTGATGAAATCAATGCACGTGGAGTGAGAGCCAGAGCAGCTAATACCATTGTGGACCATCTTTGGCGCCTTCGTGATGTCAGTTTGACCGTAAAAGGTCGGATCTACAACGCGTCGTTGAGAGCAGTTTTGCTCTATGCTTGCGAAACCTGGCCTCTCCGAGTTGAGGATGTTAGACGACTCTCTGTATTCGATCATCGTTGTCTCCGAAGGATTGCTGACATCTAGTAGCAACACCATGTTAGTAATACTGAGGTTCGGCATCGTGTGTTCGGGCACGGAGACGATGACGTAGTTGGTGTCACCATCTTGAAACATCGACTACGGTGGCTTGGACATGTTCTACGAATGTCGTCCCAGAGAATTCCACGTCGTGTATTATTTGCTGACTCTGGGACTGGTTGGAAAAACCGATAGATGGTCAGTGTATGACATGGTAACGTGGTATAAGGAATGTCATTGCACAGTAATGGATCACTAGAAAAATCAGCATTTATCAAGACTGCTTCAGGTCAAGAAAAGCCATATTTGGTACAATAACATGAGAAATCTGATAAGTTGGTTGATTAGGAACTGTTGTCTTGCAAGAATTCTGAATTTCATTTAACTCCGAACTGCCATATGACTGTGCACTGTCTTTTGAAGTCGTTGATAGAGAGAAATGATCATCATGAATACTCGACTCAGTAGAATCAGAATTACAAGACTTAATATTAATTGTAGTAAAATAAACATTAGTATTACAGACTGACTGAATAAGTCCAATATCACCACATTTAAAGCACTTAGAATTACGAAATTTACATGAATTAAAAGAGTGGAACATGCCACAGGACAATAACTGACCAAACTTGTGCTCATCTTCGTGAAATGCATTGCAACTCCTCAATGAATTATCTGCATAGCCTTGAGTATGCACTGGGTCGAGATGACGTAGTAATGTGGTGGAATTTTTTGTATCCTCATTAATCATTTTACGAGATCTCCGTCTTTTACCGCATTCGAAATTTGTATAATTAACATAGTCTAGCAGCAGTTCCTAGAGAGTTGTATAAGGAAGCAAAATGGGCTTTTCCGGCATAGCCAGAGTTCTTAATAAACTGTATGCTTCTTTTCTGATGAATGTGAGGAAATGTGCCACAGTATTGACATCCTCATCATCTTCCTTGGTCATAGACTCAATATTATTAGGTAGAATTCCATTTATCATGATTTTGCCTAGTTAATTTTGTTCCAGATGACTCAGTGGTGACATCTTAGACCTTGAAATGAGGTGACGCTTCTTCAAATTAAACATAGAAAATCAAATGCTTCAATATTGTAAGTACTTTTTGATGATGATGATGATGATGATGATGATGATGATGATGATGATGATGATGATGATGATGATGATGATGATGATGATGATGATGATGATGATGATGATGATGATGATGATGATGATGATGATGATGATGATGATGATGATGATGATGATGATGATGATGATGATGATGATGATGATGATGATGATGATGATGATGATGATGATGATGATGATGATGATGATGATGATGATGATGATGATGATGATGATGATGATGATGATGATAATGAGCACAAAACCCAAGTTGAGCAGTCAGGTATAGAGAACAAAAACAATATTTTATTACCTGAGTACCCGAATAATAGTAACAATATGAATAAAAGTTGTCAAATTCAATATCAGACTGCGTATACTTCGGATTATCTGGTGATAGGTTTATCTCTCATGAGAAATGAAACACCAGTAAGTAAGCAGTGTTTTACTTTTGAATTACAAATATGATTGACATTCAATCGATGCATACCTGAAACTATTTTTGAAAACCAGAAACTTCTTTCTCATTTTAACTTAGAAAACTGGAAGGTGAACTTCATGAATGGAATTATAAATTAACATCATAATAGTTACTATCAGATTATTTTAATCTTATTAGATTTCTGTACAATGTGAACCATTACATAATGAGATAGTTCGAGTTCTTCTATAGGTTGTTGTTAAAACTCAATTTAGTAGATCTATAGTAAGCCTCATGAGATTAGCTTAACTAATCACAGATAAATAATAAGGAATTTATAATTCAATAAGAAAAACGTACTCAGAAAATAATAATGACAGAATTCACGCCAGTTTGACAGGAGCATGATCCATTTGATATAAAATGGTAACATTAGATATACAGAACAAACATGTGATAGAAGTAAGTTTTAAGTATACTAGTTCAGTAGTTGTTCAGGTAGTACATGTATTATAGCGATCCAATGCATCAGCCGTGAACTCTTAATATTTCTTAAATGGACAGCTCGTTGATTTATGAACGGAGTAGTTAAGGTCATTCCGTGTGTCAGATCGAAAATATGTTACTTATCTACAACTAAAGGAATGAAATCGAAAACAGAGAGCACGGAACATATAATGTTTCGAATTATTTGAATTATAGCACTAACTAAGAGTCCAAGAAATAACGCAATTGAATTAAAAAGTCACAAGCACAGACGAATGTACTGTATATGGAATTCAAAACTGTGCAATCAACATGTACAAAAGTATCATCAGTCAATTCAAACACCACATCCGCCACAGCTTAAATAGAAGTATAAGTGTTTGCAATCGGTTGTGTGCCTTCTTGTACACTGGAGGCGTGGAACTTGCCACCGGACAAACATTGACCAAACTTGCGCCAGTCTTCGTGATCTCAGCACGGACACGGAAGGCTCGACTAGCTTTTGCCAACTTGCGTCATTTACGGTGTGGACGAGAGATCCGTCTAACAAGCAAAGCACGAGTTTACTGCGCAGCAGTTCGTTCTGTCCTACTTTATGGCAGTGAAACATGGCCAGTCATAGTAGAGGATATTCGTAGGTTACTAGTATTTGATCATAGATGTCTTTGAAACATTGCTCGTATATCCTGTGATCACAGAGTAAGTAATGCAGTTGTTAGGAAACGGGTACTTGATAAGGATGGCAAATGAATTGATGAAGTCGTGAAAATTCATCAGAAGAGATGACTGGGACATGTTTTATGTATGCCCAACCACAGACTGCCTCGACATGCGATGTTTTATGGTATAGGAGTAGATTGGAAGAAAGCTAGGGTCAGACAGATCAAAATATGGCACAAATCCATGAAGTCACTGACAAGTGGTCTGAGCCATGTTGGTAGTTGTAGAATACCTGGTTGGGGACCGCGAGATGATAGCAACCGATGGTTAGAGACGTTGAATGATATGGCTGAAAATCGTTTGCAGTCGCGCAGGTGCATCCACACTTTGTGTTCTCTCAACTTCTAAACTTCTGAATACTTCATGTTCTTTACTTTTTCCTCTTTCCAAATATATTTCACTGTATTGTACTACTTGAATAACATCTTCAAGCCCTAATGTTTCCGATTACTGCTCATACTCTTACTACCTCTACCATTACGGAATTCGAATCGACAACTACATCTCTGTGTTAATGTGGTGTGGCAACTAGAACTGATGTACGTACGAAGTTCTACGTTATTACTGAGTGACTGATGATCAATCAACTCTTCTTATACATTTGCCTAATCTTTTATATGAATGTGATGATATAAATTACTAGGGAGTTGTAATTGCCAAACTGAATAATCTATACGCAGTTTAGATACCTATCTGTTCTGATTTAAACAAGGAAATATGGTCACTTGACTCACTAAGCCATCATCGCTCAATATCGGAAGTGTTATGTCAATGGTTCATTGTTCATCACCAAACTTATTAATGAATATTTTGATATCGATTTGTAAACACCTCTCAATAATATGACGACGAGCTCTCTTTCTCTCTGTAATATCTTCTACATAACTATTAATAGATGAGTTGAGATTCTTATTGTATTTTTACCACATGATTAATGATGGTAGACGATGTAGATCCTGACTTTTCCACACAGTCAATTAAAAGACAATAAGAGACATTTCATTTTCTTGTAAATTTATAAACTGAATAACAGGACATGTAGAATACTACATGTAGAATATTTTTCTACTTGGACTGTAAAGGATGTAATGTTGGCAGAAGAGTGCTGACTTTGGTACAAATGGGTACCAAATATACATGCACCACACATCATCATTCGATTTGTGTGAGGGTTGTGATATTGTCCCAATGTCCAAACCTAATCAAGTGGTTTTCTTTGAGAGCCACATCCCGAGCATTTGACCTAGAGGTCTAATCTACAAAACAGTAGGGCAACGTCAAGAGTTCCATGGTAGCCGATGACAAACAATATGTTCACACGCTATTTGTTCTCTCAGGATCTTGGAGCCCATGTGTACCATTAGTTTGCAATGTGGGTTTTCCGATTGCCGTATGTGAATCCTCCATATCCACAAACCGAATTAAAGCGTCTGAACTTTATCCTCTCAATTCGGCAATGAATAACCGTGCCTCGCGACGGCAATGAGTAGGACTTCCGTGACGGTGTCTATATATGTGTGGCCATGTGAGAAAAGCTCGAGAGAGAGAGAGAGTGAAATCATTTCACCCTCTGCCGTACCAGAGCATTTGGGGGTTCTCCTCTGAAGTTTATTAGAGCTTCGATTGTATTCAGTCACCAAATTGATCTGATTTTCACACTCATACGTTTTGTATTTGAATGCTTTTAGATACTGATTGTTTTAATGTTTCCTAGTCTCCAAATACAAGAATATCGATTATCCTGATTATCGATTGAATTACTTCCTCAATATTCTTGACTTTTGAAGTCTCGAATTATCTAGATGTCATAGCACACTTCTATATCAATATTGTAATTTTATTAAAACAATCCAACAGATATCTATTTCAATAGTTCAATTCATAAGTCAATTAAAGCTAGACAACCATGGAAAACCTGAAAGCACTGGATGACCGTCTTGTCATAGTAGGGAACATTTTAGCAGTGCACATCCACAATTCCACCCTACGTGAGATTCCAACCTAGGACCTACCAGTCTATCTATTCAACTATATAAACTAATTAGCTACATCATAATTACTCTTCAATTTATTTTGCGTCTGTTTCAATTATCTTATTGTGACGTCAAACGTCAAAAATCTTCTTAAGCTCAATAGAGTGTTGACAACACAACAGATATGTCATAACGACTAATATGTGTATTTTATAAGAGAAATAATGTCAGATTTAATCCAGTGACAGACCAAACTTAAAGAGAACATGAAGCATATAAGATTTGAAATTGATGTCCTTAATTAATCGTTGAACATACAAATCAAACTTAAAAATGTACAATTGTCAAAAAATCGATAATCCATTCAAGGGTGTATAGAAATTGGTCATTACGCTTTTTAACATTTTTCTTCATCAAAGATTATTTGTAAATCTCAATTCAATAAAAGAATAGAACTATTCTATGTTGCATATCGGCTAAGCAAGAGCAAGATATCTTCAATTGAAGAGTATCAAGAACTCAAAACAACTCTCTGTCAACCAACATCAAGGTCAGGATTTTCAATACAAATGTCGAAACCGTTCTACTGTATGAAGCGTCAACCTGGAGAACTATAAAAGCCATCATCCAGAAGATACAGGTGTTTATTAACAGCTGTCTGCGCAAAATAGTTTGAATCCGTTGACCAGACACTATCAGTAATAACCTACTGTTGGAGAGAACAAATCAGATTCCAGTGAAGGAAGAAATCAGGAAGATGCGCTGGAAGTGAATAGGACACACATCGAAGAAAACACCCGACTGCGTCACAAGACAATCCCTTACATAGAATTCTCAAGGCCAAATGAGAAGAGGAAGATTAAAGCACAGACAGAGATGAGACTCGAGAAGAGTGAACAACAGTTAGGTAGAATTGGAAGGGAAATCCTAGGCGAGTGTGAGTTGGAGACTGTTGGTCGGTAGTCTATGCTCCATTGTGTCAAACAGGCGTCAGTAAAAAGGTATTCTATTTCTGATCATAAACAGAATTCACCTTTACATACTGGAAATGACTTCTATATACTTCTTTAATTCATATTACACATTTTTCGTCCTATCAACTAGTTCATATATAGGTATAATGACAAAATCATTTCATTTTTTGCTAATACCTACACTGTAGTATCTTAAGAATATAAATCATAACGAAATCAATGGGATGCCAATAATGAAATGCCAGTAGCCGACAAATTCAAAACTATTGAATGATAGTTTCTTTTCAATGGTATAGAATCATCCGAACATTATGGTCATGTGTTTAAATCACATTTTACGTTTATAACAGATGAAATGGTTATATAGTTTCATAAATATTGCTATTGAAATTATGAACTGGTCAACGTTAAGACATTATTAGAAATCTGAAAGTACTAGATAGCCTTGTCGTCCTATTGTGGGACTCCTCATCAGTGGGTATCCATGACCCTTCTTCATGAGATTCGAACCCAGAACCTATCAGTTTCGCGCGCGAGCGCTGGTCACTGCTTCTCATTAGAACTCCATGAAAACACCTCTTAAGCCTATCATTAGTGAGCACGATTTATTAAAAAGTAAGAAAAAATTAGCAACAGCTTAAAGTTAATGTGAATAGAACAAATCACAATGAGGATATTATTCAGTGAATACATTTATAATCCATTAGAATCTATCTATCTATCTCTCATTCTATTGAATTGTCCATATATTTATCTATTTATATACCCCTATTTATGTGTAGACATTTAACTAATTATGATAGTTGGGAGTAATCAGCACAATTATTGATTAAATCTTTGTACATAATACATTTTTACTGATTCTACACCATTGTAACATCTTTGTTATGATAAGCAGTTACTTGTCTTGAATGTAAAGATAACCTTTTGTCTGGTTTATTCAATACTTGTTATGTATATTGTCTGAATTTATTGTTAAAGTATTTCTAAATTAAGATTGTGTTTATTCTGAACTGAGATTATGTTTTAGTGAATAAGATTACATAGATGGGGACAACCTTTGGTATTTGAATATAAGACTACAGTATCAGCTGTGAGATAGTAACTCATTGGTAACAATGGTTGGTGTGTCGCTAAATTTCGTGGATTAGTTGAAGTTAGACATTAACAGCGTTGAATGCTGGCTGGCTCAGTGGTCTAGTGGTTAAGCGCTTGTGCGCGAGACTGATAATTCTTAGGTTTGAATCCCGCAAGGCGGGGTCATATATGCGCACTGCTGGGGAGTCATACAATAGGACAAAACGGCCGTCCAGTGCTTCCTGGTTTCACTCATCGTTTAAATAATTAATGAATCAAATATTTAAATAGTATTTCATAGTTTAATGAATATTGGTAAACAATGTGAACAATTTTTTTAGGCGGTTTTTTGTTGTTGTTGGTGTTGTTGTTGTCAAAACAGATTCATTTGAATATATATTCAATAGTTTAGAGTTTATTTAATCTAATTGACATGGTTTACGAATTCAATCCATAGACTATTTAACAAATGAAATTCAATCGGATATTATTGAACCTATTGAATTTATACAACTTACTTACTTACTTACTTACGCCTGTTACTCCTAATGTAGGAGCATAGGTCACCGACCAGCATTCTCCAACCTACTCTGTCATGGGCCTCCTTTTCTAATTCCATCCAATTCTTGTTCATTTTTATCATGTCTTTCTTCATTACCCGGCAAAATGTGTTCATAGATCTGCGAAGTCCAGATCGTCCAACAGCATCCTAGATGTCCATTATATTATGATTTAGTCAAACTATTTTTATTAAGATCATATAAATGACAAATAAAATTTATTAAAAATAGATTATTTTTTTTAATACAAAATGTATTCAGAATATTCATGATAAATATCAACATTTTTTTAAAGGTTGTATTACTAGTTAAGTATTTACTTGAACTATATACTATATTAAACTATACTTTTAATGCAGCTAAACTACAACTAGTATTCTCCACACAATCAATAATGAACTCCGAATTTGGAAGATAAATTACCTAGACTAGCCACCCCCTTCTGTATTTATCAATTCAACTGCACCTGTGGAGCAATTTATATTGGTAGATGTTCTAGGAATTTGTACATTCGGGTTCGTAAGTACCTACCCGTGTAGTTAAGCAAAGGTGTTGTCAAAACTGTTAACAACTCCATCTTAGACCTTTTAGTCCAAACAGGACATACAGCAAACATGGAGTAATCCTTTGCAATAATCTATCGTGTCAACAGTAGTGTACCTAATTCCGTCAGACTGCGAATCCTACAGACAACTGAAGCAATTGCTATTCGGATCAAAAAGCCAGAGCTTTGTATCCAAAAGAAGTATGTTTAGTCACTCGTTATACCCTGGTCAACTAGCTAATAATCAATCTTATAATGCGGTGAAGTAATCTGAATAATGTTCATTTTATGTCTCAAACTTATTATTATTATTATTGTCATTACACTTGATAACCCCTTTATGAGGAATTCATTCAATATCCACCCCTAAATCTACTGTACTTGACCTAATTATTTTACATATTACGTAATTTCCGATTTGTAATCACAATATTCTCTCTCTCTCTGTTACCTCATGTTGACCATATTTATTCTGATCATGATTTATCTCACAATTTCATTTCACTTATAAACTAATTCAAGTGAACAACTTCATATTAGTCAGCTCCCAACATAACCGATCTGAATTGATTTGTTATATAATAAACAACAATTACCCGATTCACATATTCACAATTTCCAAATGATGATGTAATCTCTGCCCTTAAATCTGACCAATTTTATGGATGATTAATTTGAATATGAAATAATTGTAGAGTGCCTAATGAGAAATGATTGAAAAGAATGTTCTTCGTTGATACAATTGTGTTATACTATTTTATGTAATGAGTTGCCTTTTTTGTAAATGGAAATAAAGCCAGAACAAATAAAGATGCAGAATAGTATGGATTCTCATAATAATTCGAGGTTTCCCCATCAGCTGATTACAACAAAACTGATATGTAATAGAATTGTTACATTGAGATAAGAAATTGTATGAAACGATTATTCTCCATTATTCTTTCCTGTGCTTTTGAGAAAAAACTTTGTTGTATTGAGGAGAGTGCTGAAGGCAGTTAGCAAGATGTGTGCTGAATCCTTCAAGATCATGATCAATATGGTTGTGGATAGACAATTAAAATCATGTAAACTCCTGACAGGTGTTATTTTATCACATACTAATCATCCACTTCACTCTTATCTTTCACCTTGTGTATCTTCTGATAGGACAACTGGAAGCGTATCAAAAAAGCACTAAGTTTATCATGTCATGAAGTTTTGGGACGCAAGAACCATCATTATAAGAAATGAATCTCTATAGAAACACTGAACAAGATCAAATAAAGGAGGAACAAGAATACGGCAATTAAAAACAGCCGAGCACGAGCGAAGAAAATCAAAGCACAAGCTGAATACATTGACGCTAACAAGCAAGTGAAGAAGGGTATTAAAGCCGACAAAGAGAAATACCTGGGAGAACTAGCGAAGAAAGGTTCAAGGGATGGTAATATGAAGCAATCATATGATACGACGAAGAAACTAGCAGGGAAATATAGTAAAACAGAGAAGCCGGTCAAGGACAAGGAAGGAAGGCTAATCACTGAAATTCAAAAAGTTAATGAGTAAAAGAGGAATATTTATGTGTTTATGCTTTTTGAAATCTTTGAGTGATACTGAAATCATGAGTCAATCAATACTAGACCATCATTTAAAAAGGTGGAAGCAATGAATGGCCGTTTTATCCAAGTTTCGGAATACCCAAGAATGCGCATCAAATATATCTCACACAGGAGTCGAACTCAATACCCTTCTCGCTCTCAAGCGTAAAATCTCTAAACCACTGTGCTGACAATAAACGATGTAAATGCCTAACTTCAATCATTCTACGATGTTGCGCGTCCACCTTCTCTTGTCTTCAGTTAGTAAATGCCTCACATCCAACAGTCTTACTCCACGGGTTACGGATTCTCAGCACAACTCTCGAATGTAGCCACTAGTGAACACACGCTTATTTTCAGTACAGTGTTGAGGAGATTGATGAGTTTCATCGTTGTATGTCAGTTGAGTCGTCTGAAGTTTAAGTGCTGGTACTCACTGCCTAATGTCCTGGGTTGTATTCACGCTTGCTCTATCGTGCACTTGCACAATTGAGGTGTCTCATAGGACAACGAAGCGGTCGTCAAATGCTTCCAGATTTCGTACGGTGGTCTAACATTGGTTGGCTCATGATTTCATTGAAAATATGAATAGAATGATGATTTATGAAGGTAATGAGAGTAACATAACAATA